CAAAACTGGAAATACACTGGCAGCAACTGAGCTTTTGGTTACAGAGCCTATAGCCACCCTCCTCCCAGAATGCATTTTTGAAAGAGCACAAGTATAGTCTTGCTTACTTCAGGGAGCCCCAATGGGAGAGAAAATAAGTTCATATACCAGTGACATTTCACTTAAAAAAAAAAAGCTGCCTGGTTGTTCTAAAGAGCTTCATTCTCAAGATTTCTTTAGATTGCACATTTCTGAGTTTTCATTAAAAATATAATCATAGCCTTATATATACATGCCCTTTGAGATAGACTCCAATCTACCATATGTATATAAATACATTTAAATGGGTGAGATGTAAATAATAAAGTACAAGTGTATCTGTAAACACATTTCCCATAATGTCCCTGTCTCAGGCCAGGCCAGCTTACTGACATTATGAATCATTCTGTGAGGTTTCCTGTTCCACGCAGACCAAACTGTTCCATGAAGCCTTCACTATAAAGCCTATGACATTCGCAACAATATGGTCAAGTGGTTTGCTGTCATAGTTGCATCCAATGTGAAACCAGAAGGCAGACCCTCGGTTGCACACTCTGCTCTCCGATCTGAACTCATGGCCTCTTGCCAGCAGCTACCCCAGACCCCTCCCTTAGGAACTCCTGAACAAACCAAACACCCTTGCTGAGGTTACAGCCTACCATGTGATGGAGAGGCCACCACAAGTCAGCCCACTGAAGTCAAGATAGCATTGACATAGGGGCTGGGACGCCAGAGTTCTTATGCTGACTCCACTGCCAATGCTGTGTAACCCCAGGCAAGTCCCTCGACATTTCTGAGCCTCAGGCACATTTCTGAAAACGAGGAGTTTAATGAAAAGACCTTTGATGGCTCTTTCTAGTTCCAATGTTCTATTATTCTGTGGGACTGAAACTATCTCATCCATAAGCAGAAGGTTAAGATTTTTCTGACCTAAAAAGATTTTATTAGTCATGACAGGGAAAACTTATTGGCAGAAGTTTTTCCAACTCTCTTTAATCTACAAATATCACAAGGCCTCCTCTGAGCGAGGCACTCTTCAGGGATCCATTAAAAAAAAGAATGTTATATCAGGACTCAGCACACTCAACAAAAGCAGTTACAATTGTTTCCCCCAATATCCGTACCCCTCTGTGTACCATGCAGGCTGACTAGTCTACTTCACCCTATGTATCCTATTCGATCTAAATAAAAATTTGATCCTCGTACACTAAATTAGTTTTGTGGCCCATGAATGAGTCATTTTCAACCACGTGGTTTGAAAGATGTGGCTGCCAAACTCATAGGAAAGGGTAAGTGCCTTGTGGGCATGTTAACAGCAGGAGAGCATTATGTGAAGTCAGGCCCATAAAAGAGTCACAATGTGGAAGATGGTTAATTGAAAAAAGAGAAAGAAAGAAAGAAAAGAAGAAAGAAAGAAAGAAAGAAAGAAAAGAAGAAAGAAAGAAAGAAAGAAAGAAAGAAAGAAAGAAAGAAAGAAAGAAAGAAAGAAAGAAAGAAAGAAAGAAAGAAAGAAAGAAAGAAAGAAAGAAAGAAAGAAAGAAAGAAAGAAAGAAAGAAAAGAACGAACGAAAGAAAGAGCCCAGAGCTCAGGGAAGGGAAGGATCATAGCCTAAGTCCTTCCATCAGGCCTTAAATTTCACCCTCTGCCCAGAGCCAGACAACCCAAACTGATGAGCAGCTGTTAGCTGACAATGAGGCCCTTGAAGGGCTGCCTTGCTACCTCCCAGCTGTTCACAGCCTCCTCACCCTCAGCCACATCCTCTGGCCTCTGCTCAGGCTCTACCACTAACGTGGAAGGTCCTCCCACCTGTGAGGCATAAACTCATCAGGAAGCCTTTTGTTCCCTGGACCAGGCATTCTTCTTGGCCCCTAGTCCTGTCCTCAGACCTGTCACTCTATTGCAGTTGCCTGAGTCCCTTTGTCCTAGACTGGGTGTCAATCACACCTGGGCTGAGGCTTCCGTTGCTATAGACTCCAATGCCTAGGACTCTGCCTGGCCCATGCACACACTGTTTGAAAGAGACAGGTGAGTGACTGAGTGACTTCTAGCTAGCTGTTCAGGGAAGGCTTTAAGATCAGTTGCCCATGACCGAGGGAGAGCCATGAGCTTTTTCTTCCTTCCTGAGCATGTCACTGGGGGCCCCAGGAGTCTCACCAGTCAAGGTGTTTTCTCATAAGCACAAACTTAGAAGGGTCCAAATCAAATTTCAGCAGAGCTCAGCACGTGCACTATGAAAACACACAGGCACTGAGGTTTAGGTCTTCCTGGACATTGGGGTTAGGAGTTAACTGTCTTTTCTCTGTGAAAATTCAGTAACAGAAATAACCTGGAGGATATTGCCAGATCCTTTTAGAAGTCCTTTGGCCATACTCAGACATAGGCACATCTACAGTGGGCTCCCAGAAGTCGATGTGAAGCTGACCGCTGTGTTATCAAGGTTGGGGAAACCTGTTCAGTTGTAATCATGCACACTGCTGGCTCAGAGCACATTGCAATGGCTTGCTTGCTTGTGAGGAATGGGATTTAAACAGCCATCATCTTGAATCTTTTGCTGGAAATAGCAGCTGTGGGCATTTTGTACCTTACTATGAATGAGGAAAAATGCAACTATGAACACAAAAGGGAAAAACAATGGGTGCTTTATCAGGCTACAGCTTTTCTTTCTTTCTTTTTTCCTTTCTTTCCTTCCTTCCTTCCTCTTTTTTTCCTCTGTTTGAAAGGTGAGAAATGAAAACTACACATAACATTGGAAGGATGATGTACTTGTCTAGCAGGGTTTGATGCTGATGATTGCTGCTGTACCTATGAACACATGCTCACTTAATCTTACCAAGTCCATTTCAGATTCTACTTGAACAAAGCATAAATTGCTCCCTGTGCTTTGAGAAGTCTGTGCCCAAGCCAGGCTTGGCTAGGTACAAGCTGTGGTGGCCTGTACATTCCCACTGCCAGGCTGGGCAAGCCTGGGGAGTCCTCTGAGCTAAGCTGATGTATCTGCCGCTTTCCATCTGCAAGCAGGGTTTTCTTCCAAGGTGCCTTCCAACAAGAGGGACCCTGGACTCCACTGCTCCTTGCTGATGTAGGAGAATTGTTATCAGAGAATAAGCCTTGAGTGAAAGCAAAATACCTGTTGAGTGTCTAACAGGCTGGGCCTGTGCAAAGCAGACCGAGTGCTGGTCTTCATTAGCAACACACTTAGGAGGGCCAAGACGGTGAACAGTATCACTCTCCATTTTGCTTCCTACAAACCTGACCCTACTTGGTGATGAACTGCCTGAAGCCATCCCTGTGTCACAAACTATACAGAGGGAATTTAGGGGCAAAGAACCAAAACTGTTTACAGAGCTATTGTAGCACTTCCCTAGGTCTGTCCCATTTTTTCTCAGCATTTAGGATCTTGGCTTCCAACAAAGATGTCCAAATAAGAGAGTGGGACCACACCACCACCTGTGCTGCCTAACTAGACACAACCACATCTAATCAGGCTGTAGGTAGGAGGAGCAGATCAAGACTCCAGTGATTTTCAAACAGACATGAACACAACATAGAGCAATCACTGTGCTTCACACCCAGGCATCCTGTTAGTCTCAAGGAGCTTTGAGCTTTGACAGCTGAGCACTCAGCAGCAATGGCTGTGACTAAGGCCTTTTCTATGCCAGTTAGCATGGGAATCACCTTCCTCTGCACCAGGCAAGACAGGTGGTGACAAGATCTGAGCAACGATCAAGAGGTCTTGTTGTGTGTATGGGGGTTCCTGGACTCCCATAAACCACAGGGTGCTGAGGGTGGGTGTAGCTGCAGGGGTTCCTGGGCTGGACTGAGCAGCCAACACTGGTTCTGGTACTGTCCCCAAAGAACAGGAGAGACTGCCTTCACTAGTGTTGAGGGTCTCTTCCTAGCCCTAGCTAGCACACTCCAATCAAACACACTGGCTTTATATGGGAAGGTTTTAAAAGATTCACAGAATGTGGTAAAGCCAAGAGAGAATGAGCATAAACCTTTCATGCAGCAAGGCCAATAGAGATGGTTCCCTGTTGAAGATCTAGGCTCATGCTGTCCATAGATCCAGCTAGTATGACACTGGCCCCTGAGCACTAGCACTGTCCCACTGGCTTTCCCCGTGGCTCTCAAAGACTGAATGTGAAGAAGGGTAAAATATGTCATCAACAAATTTTTAATACAGATTATGTGTTAAAATGATAACATTTTTGGATATGGAATTTAATATATTATACCATTAAGTGAATTTTACTTTTTAATTTTATTTTTAAATTTATTTTAACTTTTTAAAAAGGTGGCTACTAGGAAATTTTAAATTAGATGCGCGTCTTGATTTACAGTTTTAGTGGACACCATTGATTTAGAAATCTGGAGTCTAATCCTGGCTAATCTAATGTCTAGCCAGGTGGCAACTGAGGCAAGCTCATTGGAATCAGATTCATTTTGTGAAATAAACTAACTTCCTTTACAGTTAAAAGAAGAGCTAAAAATGCTACCCACACCAAGTCCCAGGCTGTCATCCCTCTCTCATTTCTCCTGGGAAGACAGATCTTTCCCATGTAACTGAACAGACTGTGGACTGACAAGGATTCACATGGAAGGGAGTGGGTGCTCTTCACATTGTACATACGTAGATTTGTGCAGTTATTAATGTAATATCCTGGTACATGGCAATAAGAATGTTGTTCTAAAAAAATGAGTATATCACAATGATTTTCCTAGATGGACATCTTGAGGAGGAGACATATTTTTTTTTTATTTGCATTCAACTGTAGTTGGGTTTGGGTCAACCATATGTGGACCGGAGGCCTGAGTTCCACTTTAATAACCAGCTGCTTTGTGGTTTGACCTCCATGTCTGTCACATGCCTGGTGTTCACCTTCAAGTCTTAGTTGTACAAAATATCCTTGGCATCTGGTGCCAAAGAGTTACAATAACCAGATGGGCCAGGGCCAGGGCTCACTCATGATGGATTGCTTACCTTTTCGTTTTTCTTCTCGTCAGGTTTGCATCCCCTGTTGGTGGGGCTGGATGTGGACAGGACACTGATGGTTCCCCCTCCGGTGTCCCCGTCGAGACTGACAGCAGTGACATTGGGAGGTGTGATGGCTGATGCTGCTGACGTGAGTGGGATGGTTGGCCGGGTGCACTGAGCCTCAGTGATGGTCTGCATTGGGGGCTGGTGGAGGTGCTGTGGGGATACCACAGAGTGGGGCCTGAGGCTGGCTGTGGGCAGGCGGGACGGGGAGTTTTGGGTGTGCAGGGGTGACACCATGGCAGTTGGTCGGTCTTGAGCCTGAGCAGAGGAGTGAGCAGCTGGAGCACAGGGTTGGAGAGAGGGTGAGTTGAAAGGTTAGTTTGTAACCTGCCTTGCAATTGCAATATATTCTTTCCTGGGACAGTCTGTCCAGTCTCTACAGACCTAGACACATGTCACAGGGAGAGCCTGAGCCCCGCAGCCCAAGAACACATGCAGATAGCCTGCCCTCAGGACTGCAGACACCATTTCCTGCCTCACTGCCAGTTTCTTATTGAGTCCGTGGCTGGCCCTCTCTGCTGTGAAGGGCTAATGCATTCACCGTTGTTAGAATGTTGGTGACAAAACCTGAAGGGGAACCCTACACATGGGGTGTCGTTGCCAACAGCTCCCTAGACTGCAGTGCCCAGGATTTGTTTCTGACATTTAGTACTTGGCTTGGCTGAGTTGTGCCCATCCCAGGACAAAGAGGCTTGTACGTCCCTTCCCTCCCCACTGCAGCCCAGGGAGCATGCACTACTCCTGACCTTCTCATCTGCATACTGCAGCCTCGGCTTCCCACTCACATAGGAGGAGCCTCACGGCCAGAAGCCTTCCCTTGCCTAAAGATGCTAGAACTCTGAAGGAAAACATTTGTAGAAATCTGTCATCTGAAAAGACAGTTCCCTCCAAACACAGCATCATGTTACAATGAATCTCGCTATAGCTTCTGTTAGTAATTTTGAAGATCCGTCTCCTCACTAATTACATAAATAAAGAGGGGAGAGCATGAGCCACATCACAGGGACAATGAGTTCTAGCCAGGGTGGATCTGGCTCAAAGAGAGAGACACAGCTGGTGGCAGCAGGCATCGCTTCCAACATTGCACAACTCAGTTTCAGTTGTGTTTGCCTTATTACTCAGAGAAAATTTATGTCACACTGTTGCTATTTTCTAGCACCAGACTTTGTGGCATGCATGGACTCAGCAACATGCAGCAAAATGATTTCTTCAGCCCCAGATATGCCTTAGAAAGAGCACCCGCTCAAATACCTGCCCAACTCCCCACTGCAAAGCAACTCCTCCCTCTGACAGTGTGTTGGGAGCCTGTCCTTTTTTTCTAGCAGGTTAGATGCTGGGGTGGCGGGGGAGGTGTGGTTATTTCTGGTTTTAAAAACTACTCAGGTTTTGGGATAGCTTTGGATCCTCCCTCAACATGGCTCCGCATTTCAAAGGAAGACTAGGTTAGGCAATGATGCAGATCAATGAAGCCAGCAGGGTCACTTAATCACCCCAGGTAATCTAGAACTTGACCAGTGCTCCTGGGGCCATTTATTTGCCCCTCCCCTGCTGTTTGAACTCTCTTGCACCCTACAGCAGTCCTGTAATGGAAGGTGACAGCTCAGTTAGAGAAGAGCAATCCCACTTGGGTCCAAGAAGCTCTGCAGGGGCTGCTTCTGGTTCTTCTGCTGAGGGCTCACACAGCTCACCTCGACCTCTGGCTGGCTCAGGTAGAAACCTGACTGCACATCTCCTTAGTAAACCATATACAAAATAAGAGAGGGTGTTTCAGAAAGTTCTAAGCTCACGAGCCATGAAGTCTTTCTGACATCATCTCCTAATCCCTCCCTTCTTCCTTGCAGCGACTCTGGCTTCCTGGCTATTCCTCACACAGACATGTAGGCTCTCTCTCTCCTCACAGATTTGGTGCCCACTGGGTCTGTCACACAGACTGCCTTTCCCTAGATAGCTGCTCTGCTGCTTCCAGTCAACTCAAGTGCCACCTTCCTGGAGAAACTGTCCTCACCAACCCCCTGAACAGTGCAACCTGCCCCTCTGCAATCTCAGCCCTCCTTGCATTGCTCTAATTTTTCTTTTCTCCAAAGGCATTTATTTCCTTTCAATAACTTGTATAATATACTTCTTTATTAAGAACTGATTGTTCATTGTCTGTCTCCCCCCCATACTGTAAGCTCCATTAGGGTGGGACATTAGATGTTTAATTTACTGACATATTTCAAAGAGCTGGAATAGTGCCTGGCAAGTAGTAGGTGCTTAATTGTTTTTTAATAAGTGAATAAGTCTTTGAAAAAAGAAAATCTCACTTAAAACATCTCCACACATTTCACAGAATTGAATCACTAGAGAAGAAAAAATACTCCATAAGAAAGAAAAGCATGAAACATTACACCAGCTGGTAGCAGAATTTAGGACCCTATTTATCTTCAATAGGATTCACCCTCAATTTTTCCAACCATCCATCAACCAATGGACTCTGACATAGACTACTATTCCTCTATTGATCTTACTAGTTAGCAATGCCAAAACAACTTATACAAGAGATGTAGGCTGTTTGAGAAAACACTACTTACTCTTCTACAATTATTAGTTTCCCTTTTCCTTTCTTTAAGCCTTTGGCATGTTTCAGTAACTCAGGAGCCCCAAATGCCATTATCCCTCAGTTCACTCCTGTCTCCAGTATGTAGAAACTGTCCTAGCATCCAGCCAATAAAAAGCAGCTGAATGAATAAATGACCTGTTCTATCATCAACTTTGTCCTTTTTCTTATTCTCAGGTTTACCACTTCCCACTTCCTGGGTGAAATGAAACACTATAAACTTCCACAGCTTCAGGCCAGCCTCTCTCTCCACTCACCCACACCCAGACCCACCGTTCCCTTCAAGGATTACAGCGTCTCACCAGTCAACCCTTTACCCGCATCTAAATACTTTCCCCTGGCTCAGAGCCTTGTCTCTTGTATTTAGCTCTTCTAATAGCTTTGCTCCTGTAATTTACTAATGAAGTTGTCTCTCCCATTTAAAAAATTATCCTCCTTTTATACTTGGTCTTCTGGCTAGTACGTCCTTTCCTTGCTATTCTTTATACCTAATATTCTTTTTTCCCTTTAATTATGTTTCATTGATTATGCTATTACAGCTGTCCTGATTTTTCCTCCTTTGTCCCCCCTCCAATCCCAACTCCCTCAGGCAACACCCCATCCTTGTTCATGTCCACTGGTCATGAGTATAAGTTATTTGGCTACTCCATTTCATATGCTGTACTTTACATTCCCGTGGGTATTCTGTAACTACCTATTTGTACTTCATCCCCTCACCTCTCACCCATTCTCCCACACTCACCCTCCCATCTCTTTAGCCTTTGGCATTCTAATTATGATGTACCTTGGGGTGGACCTCTTTATATCTATCTTGTTTGGGACTCTGCACTTCCTGGACTTGCATGTCTATTTCCTCCACCAAATTAGAGAAGTTTTCTTTCATTATCATTTCATATAGATGTCCAATTTCTTGCTCTTTCTCTTCTCCTTCTGGTACCTCTATGAAGTGAATGTTGGATTGCTTAAAGTTGTACCACAGGCTTCTCACACTATCCTTGTTTTTCTGGATTCTCTTTTCTTCCTGTTGTTCTGATTGGTTGTTTTTTGCTTCATTATGTTCCAAATCATTGATCTGATTCTTGGCTTCATCCACCCTACTGTTGTTTTGCTGTAAATTGTTCTTCATTTCAATTAGTGTATCCTTTGTTTCTGACTGGGTTTTTTTTATGCTGTTGAGGTTCTCATTAATTTCCTTGAATATCCTTATAAACATTATTTTGAACTCTGCATCTGATAAATTACTTATCTCCATTTCGTTTAGCTCTTTTTCTGGAGTTTTGATCTGTTCCTTCATTAGGCCATGTTTCTTTTGCCTCCTTGTTTTGGCAGCCTCCTTGTGTTTGTTTCTATGTATTAGATAGAGCTGCTTTGACTCTGTGTCTCAGTAGTGTGGCCTAATATAGTAGGTGTGCTGTAAGGTCCAGTGGCATAGCCCCTCCTATCACCTAAGCTGGGTACTCAAGGTGTACCCTTCATGTGGGCTGAGTACACCCTCCTCTTGTAGTTGAGCCTTGGTTGCTGTTGATAGATCAATGGGAGGGATTTACCCAGGTCAGTCAGCTGCAAGGGCTGGCTGTGACCACTGACCACCAATCTCTGCTGTTCTTGGAGGATCAGCTGTGCAGGGGCAGGGTGGTGGTGCTCTGATGTGGTCTATAGTTGTCCACTGGGTGCGCTGGCCCTGGGGTTTCCTAGGTGATGCCGGGCAAGGTAAGCCCCTACCTTTGTTTCACCTGGGGTACCCTGCCTGAGCTATAAAGCAGTCCCAGATGGCTGCTATGTGTGCTTGGCTTAGAGATTCACAGGCGAAGCCAAGCTATGAATCTAACCTGGCTGCTGTTAGTGCCTGACCTGGGGCTCACTGAAGCCAGCCGTTGCTTGTTTGATAGGATTTAGAAAGTTGTGAAGCATGAGCCAAGACCAGCCATTCACATGGAAAAGCAGCTTTGGTGGGCTCATAAGCTGGGTGGGATGGAGTCTCCGGGGATCTCCAAGGCAGGTCAAACAGTGCTGGCCAGGCTGATGGAATCTTAGATATGGTACCAGTCTGCTGGCTTTGTTGGGGGAAGGCCCAGAAATAGGACAATGGCCTCTGCTCGCCTTGATGTCAGATACCTCAGCCTCTCCCTGCATACCACTGGTGCCCCTCAAGCAGCCACTCTATCACCAGAGATCAGAGGGAGTGAGTCTGAGTAGATGAGTCCGCATGCAGGTTCTTTAAGGGGAACTGATGGGACTTTAGAAGTTTTTCCACTGATTCAATACCCTCTGATTTTTGAAGCCAGAAGTTGTGGGGACTTATTGCCTTGCACTGCAAATCTGGGCTGGGGGGCCTTGTGTGGGGCTGGATGTCCTTGCTGTCAAGATATCCCTCCTGAATTTTTATCCACCACATGTGGTTGTGGAACTGCCCATTCCTAGTCTGCACCTCTCCTACCAGTCTAGATAGATGTGGTTTCTTTAATTCCATAGTTGTTAGACTACTCTTCAAGTCAATTTTTTGTCAGATATGAGGAATAGTTGTTCTATATCTTAGCTGTAATTTTGATGTGGTGAGCCATGTCTGCCTCTGCCACCATCTTGACAGGATGTATACCTAATATTCTTGAAGTAATGCTGACACTGGCTCTTTCTCACTTTTTATTCATTTGTCTGTATGATTTGTTATTTGCTCTCATAGTA